ACACACACACACACACACACACACACACACACGGTTTGTTAAAATGGCTGTCTTTAAATTGTGGTAGATCACAATAGCTGATGTCATAGATAATTAGTAAATATTAATACATTTTACAGAATAAGATGAACAAATGTAGTAAATCCAATGTCAGTTTTAGCACTAGTCAAACTTATAATCTTTATTGATGGTTTATTATGTGCCAGGTATAGTCTAAATGTATAGAATGCCCTCATTCATTTGAGCCTCAAATAACTCTAGGAAGTAGGACTGTTTTTAATTTTTATTTCCCACAGGAGAATACTGATGACCAGAGATACTTAGTAGCTCACTCAAAGTAAAGTTTTGTAACCAGGAGTTCCATGGCCCTGAGTCTATGTTTGCAGAAGCACAGCTACTAGTTCACCAAGTATCAAGAACTATGAAATAGCTCGAGAACTTTTTCCTTTCTACAAGCTAACAAGTTAGCCCACCATGGTTTTCTGAAGGCTGGTAATGGACAAGAGAATCCTTTGGATTTTCAAACTTTTTTTTCTTATCTATGAATACCATTGGCAGGGTCCACTGATGTACTCCACATTCATTGAGAATGGAAAGGATTCCAATCTTCCAGATGAAAGGATCAACTTCTAGTTCGAACTCAATAGACAAAGCCTAGCCTCTAATTGTAGAAATGTTCTACTCGTACACGGTAGAACAGAGAGGCTCAACATGTTCAGGTATAAGAATCTCTTGGCAATATTCAAAGTTCTGCACACTCTTATGTAACAATCACTATATTTTTAGTATCCAGTGGTTGCCATGATATATTTTCTCAATCATATTTAAAAATTAATTTCCACTTTATTAATCAAAATCTATAGGAATTAAAAACTAGTAATAAATTTATGCAAAGCACATTCAGTTTATAGCAATGCTTGATATACATGTAGATTCATGGATTGCTCTCCTTTCTCAGCCAAATCTGATGGTCAAACTCACAGATAGATCATATTTTAAAATCTGTTTTTGGTTAATTTATATAAATTACTTTTTAAGGAATGAAGTCCTGTGAGTAATAGATGAATTCATTCTGTTTCTTGATCATTCACAAATTGTATTTATTAAGTTAAAATAAATGTGTGGAGGGGTTGAGTCTTTGAGAAAGGAGGAGAAGAGAAAGAAAATGACTGACTTATCATTGTCAACGTCGTAACTAAAGGCACAGGGAAAGCACCTCAGCACCTAGCCTGTGTTCTCCAGTCTTGTCTGTGAGTCATGGACATGTGCCACTGTCATTTTCATCACGTAAGAAGCTTCTATTTCAGGAATTTATATTGCTTCTTGGCCCCTACCTGCTCCCTGGAAGTCCTGGGTGGAGAGCCAGGAAAAGAATGTGGTTGCTCAGGCTGAAATCAATGGGCTGGGATTGTTGCTTCACCTTGGGTGACTCCACTGCTACTCAAAGAATGAACTGATTGGCACCAAACAGAGAAAGCAACACATCTCCTTTGGACTCATTCCCTTGTTTATAACCTCAGGGGCAATATGCCTAGGGAATGCCCTGCCAGCATCCTTAAAGCAGGATCTCTTGGCTAATGTTATTGTCAGTGATCTCTGGCATCCAAGAACCCAAGGATGCAAATAAAGCCAGAACCAAGCAGAGCATTGAAAATTAATGTTATTCCAAAGAGGAAGCACCAGGAATATGAAGAGCTGGTCTCCCCTCCCCTGCTTCTTTCAAGTTTTAGAGCCAAGAGTGATGAGGGCTTCAGGTAAGAAGGGAAGCCAGGCAGCCTATGAGATGGAACTTGCCACAGAGATAGCTGACTACAGATACTTTGACAGGGAACTGTTTTCTTTTCCTTCCCTTTTTTTTGGGGGGGGGATTTTTTTGCTATAGGGTATGTGTGCTCACCAGTGTGAGAGGCAGAGAAAAAGTGAAAAATCACCACACAGGGAGAATGACAACATCTCAATTTCTTCTTCTCCATTCTCTTCTTGGGATTTTGTGCATGCATACACACATTCTTGGTATGATTTTCAAGATGGTGGGCCAGGGACTTGAACTGCCATTGACCAGATGGGAGTCCAGAGCCTTAGCTACCATGCCACCCACTGGTCCCAAAAGCTGTTTACTTTTCATTTGTGTTTTAGATGTTTTTGCCTTAGGGTGTGTGTGCTCATGGGAGGGTGGGGGAGAGACAGACAGTGAGAGGAAAATAAGAAATCACTGTCCTCCCCCCTGCCATGGGGGATGGCCATGCCACAATCCATTCTTATCCATTCTCTTCCTAGGATCTTGGGCATGCACACACAAGAAACTGGTGTGAGTTTCAAGCTAACGGGTCTGGGATTCAAATCATGGTTGGCCACGTGGGGGTCTAGCAACCTAACTACTATGCCATCTGCTGGCCCTGGAAACTGTTTTCTTTTTCCTTCTTTCATTTTTTTTTGGAGAGGTTTTTGCTACAGGGCGCATGCGCTTGCCAGAAAGGAAACTTTTCTTTTAAGAAACAATCCAGAGGTTAATGCCATGGATAACAAATAGGGGATCCACAGTAATCTCTTTGACATAGACATTGCTGGTGTCTCCTCAGCATCCATTCTCCCCTTCTTGCTGAGTACCTCAATTCAGTGTGGTCAGCAATGTACCCTCAACTAGAAAACCACATTTTCAAGCCTTCCTTTAGGTAGGTGACTGAGTTTTGGCCAGTGAGCTATAAGTAAATGCTATTAAGTAGGCTCCTCATATCAACTGCTTTAGGATGGGCTGACCCAGCCATGCACCAGCATGTCTTAGTGCCTCCTTCTCCCTGCTGATTACAAGATGGGTATGATGGCTAGAGTGGCAGCTGCCATCTTGGGACAAGAGCAGACACTGAGGTTGTAAACCATACCTAGAATAGGGAAACACAAAGAAGAACCTGGATCCCTGGTGACATGACAGAATCCCTGTATCACCATGTGTTACTAATCTCTAGACTTCTGAGGGGCAAAATTAAGTTCCATCTGACTCAAGCCTTGGTTACTTTGAAGACCAAGAGCACTGGCATCACCTGGGAGCTTGTTAGAAAGGCAGATGCTCAAAACACTCCCTAGACCAAATAAACGAAATTTCATCATTTTAACAAATCCCAGGTGATTTGCATGCACACCAAAGTTTAAGAAGCACTGTTCTAGATATAGTTGCCTTCTCTGCTTATAAAATTACTAAATGATATATCCTAGGGATTTTGCTAGTACTAAAGCATTATAAGAATTATGTAATCATAGGGTAAAACAGTATAGTGACCTGAGTTTTTCAGATACAAAAAAGAAAGATTTGTGTGAACTTGTTAATTCACAGTTCAGTCACTTGACACCTGGGCAATAAAGCTATCCCTGCTCTAAAGTTTAGTCTAGTGAGGAAGACATATAGATTCTGTATATTGCATTATATTGCATGACAAGAACCTGTCAGAATGCAAAAATGCCCCAGTGTTTTTTCGTTTTTGTTTTTGTTTTTGTTTTTCTGGAGAATTTTGTTTTTGCTATAGGGCACATGCACTGGCCAGAAAGACAGAGAGACAGAGACAGCAAGAAATCACCTCCCCCACCCCTCCAGGGGGAATGGCCATACCACAATCCCTTCTCTCCATTCTCCTCTTGGGATCTTGGGCACGCACGCGCAGGCACCTGGCGTGAGTTTAAGCCACTAGGTCCGGGACTCAAACCACAGTCGACTACATGGGAGTCCAGCGACATACCTATTACACTAACTGCTGGTCCCAAGAACCTGTCGGAATGCAAAAATGCCCAGGTGTTTTGAGAACACACATGAGGAGTCTAACCCTGCTTTCCTGGGCTGAAGGGTAGGTTAGAGGAAATTTCTTGGAAGACTTGTCTCTTGAGTGGTTATGGGGTTTCTAGCTTCTTCCCTTAGCTTCAGAGAAGATAGCCCTATCTTTGTGGGTTGTCAGTCTACTGACCTGTCCAGCTGGCACTTAAGTTCTAGAAGCTGGAACTTGGAAAAACCAAGTCAAAGCACTAGTGTCTTTACCTTAGGCCTTCTTTACTTTCTCTGTTCATAATACAGGCTCCTTGGCTGCATTTTACAGATGAGGAAAGTGCAGACACTCAATGGTGAGAAGAATTTAGGGTACACGAGCCCAGTTAGAAATGTAGAGTTCATCGATTACTAACATCCGCTGTTTATTTTGTTAACACTGGATTCTGAATTCCATCATTTGTTAGCTATTTTTCTTCATCTGTCTTCTATAAACAATCTGAACTGGAAATCCTTTGGAAAGATGTTTAGAATAAATCAGTTTTTCCCTTCTCTTTATATTTCTATTTGATAGCCCTCAGCTCATTATATTATTAAAAAACAAATCACATTTTTGGAGACTTGTGGTTTGGCTGGATGGCTGGGAAACTGTTTTCTGGCATTCACTAATGATTTTTTTCTTTCAGTTTAAAGAAAATTTACTGGATTTTGTATTCCAAGAAAGAAAATGTGAAATTTAGAAATAAGAACGATAATAAAGGAACTGTACATACTGAAACCTCAGGAGGACTTTTTTTCCTTCCAAATTCTTATGTATCTGATGATGTTGAGAATGGGAACATTGATTCCAACAAAACCCAAATTTTTATTTCTTTTTCCAAGAGATGTCTTCAATCTTTTTTTTTTTTTTTTTTTTTTCCTGTCTCAGCTACTTCTCTGAAACAGTCTTCTAGAGACTGATTTTCTTCTTCCTTAAAATAACCTAAAATAGCCCTGTTGGTGAATACCGCAGTGGAAGTGAAATAGACTCAGCCTGCCTGAGACTCGTGGTCTGTTGATTTCTTTAGCCAGTGCCTAGGTTCACAGCTCACTGCTTCCCACTGTCTCAAGCTAACAGCAGTGAGGGGAAGACAAGGAGAGGCTTGAAAGTCATTTTTATCCTTTCTTTCTTCTACAGAATTCACAAGTTCCCAAGCATTCCACCAGCACTCACTACAGGGTATTGCCAAGAGTAGCAGACTGCACACGAATCAACAAGGCTTCCTTCATATTGCAATCCCAACAGAAAATGGTGCAGCAAAAGCAGTTCCCAGACCTTGGTTGCCTGCTACCCAAGCTCTTGTGCCAAGGTATGTATTTAGTCAGTTCTACGATGCTACCACCTTTTCTTGTGCCCAACTTTACATTTCTACCACAGTTCTCTTCACTGGGAACATGTTATTTGGCTCTTACACATGCAAGAGGAAGTGCCCTTCCCTGAACAGAAATCCAAACACAGGACGAAACCACAACTTGTTTTCAGCTGGCCTCATGTTGTGAGCACTCCCAACTGTGCTGCCTTTCTGCAAGTGAGAATGGGCTGTTGCTTCCAAGTAGTGTAAAGGGCCCCCACCTCTTCCTGAGGACATCTCTAAGGAGGGTCTTAAAAGCAATTAGTCATCACAGGGGTGGGGGGGTAGGGGGGGTGTGACTCCCTGAGCCAGATCACATTTTGTCAGATGTGAGATTCTGATGTTTTATCACATGGCTTCTTTGCAAACTGTGCCTTCAGTACATACACTCATAATATTTAACAAAATAATGGTCTGACCTATTGCATTGTTTATATCTTTGTTTATTCTGTAATTCTATATGAATCGCCTAATGTATACCAGGTGTCATGCTGTGTACAGAGTTCCAAGCAGGAAAGAGATGTATTACCCTCAAGTGGTTTTGAATTCAATCTGTCTCATCTCCCTCCACTAATCTACAAGTTCATTCAGGGGTTGGTGGTTTGAACAGGGTATAACTGTGAGACAGAGGAGGAACGGTGGTGAAGAGGGTTGCAGCTAGCATGTACAATGCTTCTTTTTTTGGTAATTTTGAGAGAGTATCTTCATCCACCAGACTTCGGCAGCCCCTTCACCAGAGCACAACACTGTGCTTATGCTGTAGGGGTAGCTAGATAGGAAACCATCTCAATAGTCCTGGTGACAGAGAGTGAAGGTTTGAACCTTCAATGAGTGGCAGGGATGGGGAGGAGAGAACTGATATGAAATGAAAGGTGTGGAATCTACAGAACTTAGAGACTGGTTGGCTTCCTGAAGATTAAGGACATGCAGGTGTCTAGGATTAATGGCTTCCTGGTTTCATGTTTGGAAACGTAAAGGGATGACTGGCACCTCTCCCTTAAAAGGGATGCAGGAGGAAGAGAAGCTTAAGGAGGTCTTCTCAGAAGAATGCTAGGTGGTCTCTTACTAATAACTGCTGTCCATTTATGGCACTGTTCTAGAAGTAAGGCTGTGGCAGGCAAAGTTCAGAGAAGCTGCTTACTCCAGCTCCATGTCACAGCTTTTATCCAGGTCGGTCCCTGAACTGAGCTTTTTACTTTGATACCATACAGAGAAAAAAAAAAAAAAAATTCTTTCCAAAGCTATGGCTCCAATGGCTCTGACCCCTTCTGGAGAAGCCAGTGTCTGCCCTGATTTTTGGGGGTCCATGGGGTGGGGGGGGGTTGGCCTACAAT